CTGTGTGTGTGCGTCTGCATCGAGAACTCATTGCGGTGGCAAACATTCAGATTGAAGTGGAGAAGGCGGATGAAGAAAGTAAAGGGAGAGGAGGACCTCAAGACGTAGAGAGGAGGGGACGGAACAACGGAGCAGACGAGAGGGTTCCTGGAAGAGGGGACAACTGAATGCGAGCCGTGCGGAAGGAATCATTTCATTTCCTTTCATTTCAAATATTCTTAGAACGAACATCGCACCATAAAAAAAGAAAAAAGAAAAAGAAAACGTCCACAAAATCGCACGAAGGAGAAAGGCCTGTCTTACCTCTTGAATTTCATCTTGCGACGCCGGCTCACGCGAAAGCTCCATCGCCGCTCCGCTGCTCAGCCGCTCCTTCGGTCTCCCACACCACACAGACCAAATTGTCTTCAGCAGCGCCGAAGTCGAATATGATGATGATGATGGTGATGGTGATGGTGATGGACGATCGATGATCGATGATGGATGATCGATGATCTGTGATCTATGATGGTAGTACACTACCTACCTACCTCATTCCCCCCCCCCCCCCCCCCCCCCAACACCAGAAAGAGATTCCTTGGGCGAGAGCACACACTTAACTGGATTCTATTTTTATTTTTTTTTGAACTGGATTCTAAGAGTCAGTGATTTGTCCCGAATCTACGCCGATCTTCCTAATCTACGTCCATCTGCCTAACCTGCGGTCTGAACTCAGGATCTGGGTGAATGGCATCTCAGCCCTCCGCTGTCCGTACATCTTGGCCCCCCACGACTCCGCTCCTTCTCACTGACTGCAGAATGTCACCTTGTTAGCGGAACGTTCGCACACTGGTGGATTTTTTATTTTTATTTTTTAAGTCCATATTTAATGCTGCAATTCTTGTTTTTTTATTTTTACTTCTTTTTTTAGTATGCTGCAATTCTGGCTAAATTTCCCCCCCTATTTTTTTTATTTATTTTTTTAATTTTTTTTTTTTTTTTTTTAGAGCTGCCTTCTCCTCATCGGGGGACAGCCATATATTTTTTTCTCTCACCTCACATATCTTTCTTTTAACTGGCGTTCTGCCATGTCATGGAACATATCTTTCTTTTCACTACCTACCTACCACTACTCCTAAGGCTATACAGGGGACCCCTGCAAGCATAGCTTTCTACCTCTCTGGCCACAGAGAACATTCAGTTCAGGAGAGTCAATCAAAAAAACAAAGAAGAGCATGTGCGCTTGTCCATCGGGGAGGGGGGAGGCATATGAGCATGGCCTCTGCGCAAATTGAAAATGAAAATTTGAATAGAACGGAGAACGCGCTCTTTGTTACATACAATACCCCGCCCAGTGCATGCCCCGCGGCTTGCGCGCTTTGCTGCAACCCCGCTTTGTTGACAAACCCCGCCCAATCCTCGACGCGACGGCAAAATTGCCAAAAAAATTGGCAAACTTGGCAAAATTGGCAAAATTGGCTCGGCGCGCTTCGTTGCATTGCAATAATACCCCGCCCACTTCCACTGCATGCGCGCGCAGCTTTGTTGCAACCTCCGCTCAGTGCATGCGCAGCTATGTGTTGCAACCCCCGCCCAACCCTCGGCGACGGTAGAATTACCACGTCACGCCAACTGCAATCCGAATGCATAGCCCGTCGCAGCGCCTTGCGCGCGCGCGCGCGCGCGCGCGAATGCGCACATGCGCGCGGTGCACGTAATGACCGGCGGTTCGACTCGAGCCGGAGGTTGCGTTTTTCGTCAGCTGTCGCGACCGCAAGGATCTTCCAAAGGTTTCGATTTTTATTTTTTTATTTTTTTTTATTATTTATTTATTTATTTATTTTGGATTCGAAACCGCCGCCCCGCTACCAAAGAGAGCCTGGCTCATGGCATGCCATCTCTCCGCCGGTGAATGAACTCCTTCCGGCAGCGCCTGAATAATAATACCTTTCTCGGCCTTTTGGCTAAGATCAAGTGTAGTATCTGTTCTGATCAAAAGAAAAGAAAAAAAAAGAGCCGGGCTCAGGGCGTACTCACGCCACCACTATCGTAAATGTACCTGACCACATTTACGGCCGAATACGGCCGAACTATATACATCTGGCCGTAGTTCCATCCACAAAGAAATAACCAGGTGGTACCGGTAGTGTGAGTATTGCACCCCCCCCCCTCAGTTGGTATTCGTACACCAATGAACTGCTAAATATAGAGCTGAGTTCCAATCCAAATGAGGAAACTAGATGGTTACCTACTGTATAGGGCCTGTCAGCTCAACGACAATTTTTTTTAATTCTTTTATTTTTCATTTTATTTTTAACTACACTATATTCTTCTCTCAAATCTTTCATCATCTTTCAAATTCTTTCAATTCACCTTCACTACCTACCTACCACTACTCCTATCTTCTTCTTCTTCTTCTTCTTCTTCTTTTTTTTTTTTTTTTTTTTTTTTTTTTTTTTTTTTTTTTTGGAAGGGCGATGACCTTGAGGTATTACCATCGGACTAACCAGCCCAGGTAAATTCAATCTTGTGTCTAATCTGACACCCGGTGGCCTTTTCAGCCCAGGGTGGGGTGGCCTTATTCAGGCTTATTGCCTTCAGGGAACCCCCAATTGGGGACACCGGCCAGGGGGCAGCCCGTAGCAGAGGGACAGAGCATCATCTGAGTGGCCAGTCGCTGTGCCTCCCTCCCTGATCACCCCTACCCCTATGAACATGAGCAGAGACTGCTTTTTTAATCCCAACTGGGGGGACCAACGGGCTATCTCTCGGTGGCTGGCCCCAAGCATGCCCAGGAAGGTACATCAAATGGGGATTGAACCCAAGACCTCCTGAATGCCATTTGCGTGCCGTTAAAATTTTGAAAAAAAGAGAGAGAGAGAGAGAGAGAGAGGCTACTTCCTTAAGCCCAACCAATTCAATCACCTGTCGTATCTGGGACCTTGTCCCACTTCGTCCGTTGAGCAAGGTCCACGTTTAGTTTTCTTCTTTTTTTTTCTGTTTTTTTTTCGTAAAGCCCAGGTTGTTGTAGAGGTGGGATACCAGACGGATGGCAGTCACCCACAGTACTCGCCCACTCGGTTGTCCAGATGAACCCCTCTGAAGACCCCACCCACCCTTCCTCTTATCCTTTTGCCCTGGCGCACCCTCACCCCCCCTGTCCTACCCTAGTGTTAACCACCCAGGACCATCACCCATTGCCATCTTGGCGGGGTGACCTGACCAGACAGCGGTTGCAGGTACCGGGGCTAAGCAGAGATGCCTACCCCCTGCTCAGCCCCGGTTGAAGCAGACGCCGTGCAAGCCTGATTGCCCGGGGACTTCGGGAGCTAGGTTTGAACATGCTACTACGGTTCTTCATGAGGGTGCACAGTGATTCCCATCTAGCTTAGTTGTGTGGTGATGATAGAGAGCTGGGTATCCTCCGTTCCCTCGTATGTCCATGGAGCCCGTTCCGGCCATGACACCCCCGACATCCCGTACTAAGGAACTGCTATGCCAGCCTCAACCCTATGCTACGTACTAGGAGGATCGCCAACCCTGGGTCATGATTTATGGACTGAGTTTCTTTATCCTTATGTTGTCTTTTTACTACAGTGTACTACGATGTTGATGGTAGAGAGATGGGGATCCTCTGTTCCCTCGTATATCCCTGGAGCGTTCCGGCCCCACGGTAAGGTGCAGTATCTCCTGACACCCCGACATCCGTACTAAGGACTGCTATGCCAGCCTCAACTCTAAGGTACGTACTAGGAGGATAGCCCACCCTCAATCGTGAATCATGGACTGTATGTATTGACCCTGGATAATTTCTAGGCCCTGTGTTGTATGATAATCTGAGAGCAGACAATCCTCTGTTCCCTCGTATGTCCCTGGAGCCCATTCAGGCCCTGCCGTAAAGTGTTCGACCACTATGTCCTGACACTCCCGACATCCCGTACTAAGGAACTGCTATGCCAGCCTCAATCCTTTGACCACGTACTAAGAGGATGACCAGCCCTAAGTTATAGTCTGGTATCAAACACAGGACCTTATGTGAATCGTGCAAGTGACCTAACCTATTGACATACACTGTGAAATAGTCTGGAGCTGTGCTCTGCTGGCCTCGAGTAAACCGGACTATGCGAACCACCCAGCAGTCACATGACGACCCCGTAGACCAAGAACATCAGGATACCCACCATCGCCCAGTCCCCACATACAACAACCATGGACTACCCCTTGGGTGGTGCACAGGCAGTGTCTGTAATAACTTACCTGCGTCATCCCAAGGGAGCGTGTGTCCAGCCGTGTGTCATTCTAACGCCCTGTCGGTGTCCATGCACAAGGCTGCGGAGTTTTGAACCTGCAACCTCATACCACAATGCGCATTTCCAACCGGTGCTCTAACCACTGAGCTACTCCGTGCGACTGTAGGCGACGAAGGAGATGCACGCCCTTGCAATCATCCAGCGGTCTGCTCTTTTTTTAATTGTGAATAGATATTATCACCTTTTTTATTCCAACAAAATAGTTCCAAAAGTGACGTTTTCTCGAATGCTACGCCCCCTACCCTCACCAGTTTCCGTTGAGCTAGCTGTCTTACTTTATAAGATCCTCCATAATGACCATTATCTTCACCTATTACAAAAACTTTAGGATCTCTTTTTATCTCTTCATGAATACCTTCATTTAAAGCTTCACATAATAGTTTTTCTGCCATTTTTTCACATCAACTTTGAATTCAATTTGCTAGAGTAACTAGACTGTAAATAAAATTTGTATCTTTGTATTGTAATTTTGGAGACAGCCAGTTCAACGACCGTTGGCGTCCTTTCTGGAGTTTTCTTTGTTTTTAATGTTATTTATTATGTTTTGAGAAATCTGTGAAGTCGCTTGTACTTCGCTATTTTCGTGCGACTTTTGAACGACTGAATATGCGTGAACTAGGGGCAATTTGGTGCGAACTTTGAAGGACAACATATGCATCAACTACGGGAATAGGGCAACTCTTCATAGGATCGGAGCGGATGTCACATATGCCACTGCAATTGTGGAAAAAAAAAAAAAAAAAGAATGAGTTGTATCTTAGGCGGATTTTTTAATGCATTTCTGAATTTTGAAATGAATACAAAAAACAGTTTCAGCCGTCACACCGTTGAGCTAGGTCCAGTAAACGGTGCATGTGGGACAAGTCCCTGGACAGGACGGCCTTTCAGGCCATCTTTTTTGTCATTATAGTATTAGGGGGAACCCCGTAGCAGCCACATCCGTGCTCAAGCCTCCAGCGAGGGAACATGCGGGAGCTGCACCCACCAGCAGGTGGGTCAGCCTACTGAGCTAGGCCTCAAGGCCAAAAAAATAAAAAAATAAAAATACTGCGTTGTATAATGTTTGGCGGATGAATCATTCTTTTTTTTTTTTTTTTTTTTTGGTAATCTATATTCTTCTCTCTATCATTTTCATCTTTCTTGGTAGTAGGCATCCATCTCATCCTCTCACTAGTCTATTTATAGTATGGGGGAACACCAACCAACCCGGATCTCTCCCCAGCCCACGGGGTAGGTTTGCACCACAGCTGTGGTGCGAGAGCAAGGCTGTACCAGTCCCTCATCACGGTGACGAGGGGTAGGCAGGCATTGCCGATGGGGGAAATCAGCGGTGCTAGCGCGGAGCAATCGCCAGTCGCAGGCAATGCCGATGGGGGAAATGAGCGGTGCTAGCGCGGAGCAATGGCCAGTCTAATAGCAAATATCGTCGCTGCATAGCAGCCAACAACATCAGCCAAGGTCCTGCCAATGCTGGCTTGGGGGTCCAACGGGTTATCTCTAGCTGGTAGAACACCAAGCTTCTCATTTGCACATTTTGGTGAACAGTGCGCGGAGGCCCATACCCCCTATAGAATAGCCCCTCAGTTCGAATCCACAGATGGAATTCGACGACTGGAAAGTTGTTCCATTAGATCGAGTGTAGTATCTGTTCTGGCACATAAAAAAAAAAAAAAACTTTCACTTTCAAAGAAACAAACAAAAACTGATCAGTGGTCCATCGGGCCACATTTAAAAAAAAAAAAAAAAAAAAAAAAAAAAAAAAAAAAAAAAAAAAAAAAAAACACTTTCACTTTCGAAGGAACAAACAAACAAAGAAAGGGCACACAACCCCGCCACGTACCCGCCTAGTCGCTGACTGGTAAACACGTGTAAGCTCGATAAGCTCGAGGCATACCTCTCGAGTTGAAACTCCGCCAGTGGTACTACGAGCAGACGTATAATTATGGCCAGATCCCACTGGCAAAGAGGATTGGAATACGTGGCTGAATCTGGGTGTGTTCCAGA